TGGATTACCACCGTAATTATTTATTTTTTTAAATTACTAAAATGGCTATTAAAAAATAAGGGTTGATCGTAGAAGGGTGAAAATTGAGGATTGTATGTATTTTTGTATGTTGTATCTATTATTTTTTTTTTTATATATATAACCAATACCTTAGCAACCATTTATAAACAATTATTTCTACCGTAAATTATCAAAATCCCTGTTTGAGCACTTCTTTTATTTTTTTTTCTGGACAACCCTTAATACTTAGGGGTATGAAAAATAGATGTTAGTCGATTCTCATACCTACTGAATATGCACAAAAAATTTCATCAAAATCTGTCAAGCCATTTCGGAGGAGTATGGCAACGAAAACTGTGACACGATAATTTTATATATTAGATACCTATTCTATACCTACATTAACTAGCGTCTAGCTGACCACTTCCACTTCGCTGCCCTTTAGAAATGCTAACTCTATATTATGATTCGAACTTTGTTAAATTCGTTATTTAATATTCTGTATTTCTGTGTAATGGTGTATACAATTGTTTACTACTTCTATTATAACCTGTAACCAGTAATGACAATTATTTATAAACAAAAAAAAATGTCCATCGACCATCGCGAATCTCAAAATACTCGACGTGTAAGCATCAATCTAAAATGCGAATTTTGGAAAGTTCTTTCTTAGTACACAAATGGTGGTTGTTCTATGGTGATACGAACTCGGAACTACGAAGGAGCCGTGAGCCCGTGGAAATCTCAAGTGGGTATCTGGTATCTCCATTTATCTTTGTTTAGGCTCTATATAGGTACGCTGATCAGTCACAGGACACGTTCGATTTTATTATAGCCATCCCACCCAAAGTTATACCAAGTTGATCGTTTTTACTTAATCCAACCTACAGTGAGTTAGTGGTTTTTGATATAACTATACAACCCGGCTGAGCCCGGGAATAAATTATCAATTGATACAAAATACGGCGTTATAAATTATAATATTGGTGTATCTCGGTTTTAGTATACCTGATATCTCAGTTCAGATCATGGTTGTATATCTTAAACCAATAAACCATGGTTAAGATTTTATAGTAACTCTATAGTAACTTATAATAGTAACTCAATAGTAACTTATAATAGTAACTCAATAGTAACTCAGAACAATCTCTGAAATTTTCGTTAAAATCGGTAGAGTGATAATTGGAGGAAGTTGAGAGGAACCACAATTCATCATTATTTCAAGTCCAACGTACTTTTTGTAGTTTTTGAGATGCAGCGATCATTATGAGTGAGTGGTATTTCGATTTTATATATATTGATTATAAAAGCGTATATTATATTCGATTCAATTGAAGTAGGTACTAGGTAAATATAATTCACCAGTTCTCTTTTTTTTTTGGTCGGGGGGGGGGGGGGGGGTCGGGGTTACACCCCCACCCCACAAAATCCACTACTGTTAACATGGGACGACATAGCTTATCTGCTTATTATTCTTCTCAATATAGTTATTTTATTCTGTGCATCCGCCATCCAGAATCAAAGGATGCAACTGCAGAATAACTTGATTATTCTGTGATGCAACCATGCTACAACTGTCTACTACCTACACGTTTTTAATAGTCCTTCCATGGTTCTAAAATATCATGAAATTTATTTTTTTGAAATATCTCATGTTAATGAAAGAAAAAAAAACAAATTTTAATTTAAAACTGAAGCAGAAAGCACGGCAACCACCTCTACTTAGATAAGTGTTAATGAAAATATTAAAGAAATATTTCTTACATAGGTACTACCATGACAAATTAGATAGGTATCATCACAGTTGTACTAGTTTTGCGGAATAGATACGCATCTCCTTCACCTCCGGCCAATATCGTAGTTCTCAACTTCTCATTAGTTGATTTTGTTCTATGTTATAGGTATGTTATATGTATGAATATGATTGACAGCCAATAAGAAGTAGAGAACTACGATAAGGTCATAAGGACGAAGTAAAGAGCGGAGGATGCATATCAAAATACTGTGATGATGCCTATCTAACTTTTCATGGGTATACTATACAGTCATTATACAAATTACATATAATAAATATATTTTTTATATCATGATCCAGGATTATATATTGATAACACGGACTAAGATATACAGGACTGGACACGACAAGGTTGGAGGGTGTGGGGGGGTTGACTACGAAATGTTTTACAACAGGCAGTGTTCGGGGGGATATTTTCCTTTTAGCATTACTAGCGCCGTCCTAGTGGATACTTATGGAACTAGAACACATCATACAAATTTCTAGTTCCATAAGTATCCACTAAGACGGCGCTAGTAATGCTAAAAGGAAAATATCCCCCCGAACTCCGCCTGTTGTAAAACATTTCGTAACCACAATATTCATCTCGTGTCCAGTCCTGTATATCTTAGTCCGTGATTGATAATCACTAATCAGGTATGAAATCAGTATGACCATCTAGTGATGATTTTATGAAACATACCAATTAAAATTTTTTAATATTTCAAGAAGGTTAACAGTTTCAAGTCTGAAGTATTTCAAAGTCAACATTCCTTGTGGCATGGGGTGAGGGGGAAATTCACTAGAGCAGAAAAAGTTGTAACATTTTAAAGGGTGGAAAATGTTTAAATATATCTTTAATAGAGGTACTAAATATGATTGCCAAGGGACGCCAGCAATGCTTTTCTTGAAATCTATAGTTTACTTTTTTAAGAAAACATAAATTATAAAAATAATTAAATAATACAATACTGAGGTGTTCAGGTGTTCTGTAGAGTAAAAAAAAATTAACAATACTTATGGTAAATCCTAGGCTTGTCAAGCTTTTTGCAGAAATATTTTAGACTCTGAGTGGAACGATGAATGTATTGATTTTACAATGATGTTTTTTAATTAAAATTTTTTTTTTATTTTAGATACTCTACAGTTAGGCTAAGGGCCGTTCTTACAATGTCCGGTAAAGTGTCGGTTAACGCTAACCGACTGATAACAGATTTTATTACCGGCAGAATTCTTCCGGTTAAGTGTCGGTTAACTTTAACCGGACGTCGTAAGAACGGCCCTAAATGATTAGTATATCCATGCGCATTTGAGTGTATGTGCAGTGGTGTCGGGGTAGAGGGGGCAGGGTGCCCTCAAATATAATCAAAGGGTTGGAAAAGTATACTTTTGCCCCTCTACTACATTAAAATTAAAGGGTGTACAATCATAAATTACGTTTAATTTATACGTTTACGTATTCGAAATTGGTCTCATTTTCATGAATGTATGAATATGCGTGATAATATTATTATTGATTTATAATTTATTATTATAACATAATACATATTGAGAACATATTGAGTAATTTTAGATTCTGAGTGAAACGATGAATGTATTGATTTTACAATGATTTGTGTTTTTTTATTTATTTTAGATTCTGAGTGGAACGATGAATGTATTGATTTTACAATGATGTGTATTTTTTTATTTTTGTATCTGTGTACACGATAAGTAGTCGAAATAATGCTTTGATTTTCAACTTCAGTATCTTGGTCTATTGGTAAGTGAATATCGTTGGTGCATTGGGAGGTCAAATTTTAAAATTCACAATAGTGAATTTGGTTTTTGGTGTAACTTTAAAACAAATGACCGTACATACATGAAATTTTCACTGGTTGTTTATATTTGCATTTTCTATACACGATAACATTTTCAAAATATTTTGATTTATTTTGAACTGTTTAGGGACATCTTCAATTTAAAATTTTATTAGTTTTTTTTTTCTATAAATATCAATAAAGTTTAAAAATTTAATACAAGGCTCCTGATTTATTGTTACAACATCAGTTGAAAAATATTAAAATACATAGGCACAATTTTTTTTTAAGAGCATTAAAGATCAAAATTTATCAAATTTAAAACTGAATAATTATATTGTAGTTAAAAATTTATAAATTGTTTAACTTTTATCTAAGGAAATTTAAAACAACATTCCACGTAAGTAGTCAATTCTGTAACCAAAAATTCTAAAAATTACATAAGCCAATTTTACTTTTATAGTCATTTTGTTCAAATTTGGACGAAATTACATAATAAAAAACCTAGAATAACTATTTTAGTTATTTTGTTGTGATTGTACAATATTATTCGTGGGTACTTGAAACTTCTTAAGTAGGTACACTATTATATATCTATGATAGTATCAGGGTTTGTTGTTGATGTATAACGTGTTATAAGTACCTAATGGATATTGTGATATGATTAATTTGGAATTTATTATAGGTCAATTTTTTTAATACCATAGATAAGTATATAATATGTGAATATGTCTTATATCTAGACTGACATACCGTCTCCGCTCAGAATCATTTTTTTTATACAATGATATTATATCATTGAATTCAAATTTAATACCATCCATTATACAGTGACCCACTTGTAACCTATTGTACAGCAGAGCACCTTTTTAAATACTAATTAGTAATTTCATTCTTAAAACTTACAATTGTCAATTACTATAATTGTTGTAACTATAAGACTTAAAAAGTAAACCAATGTTTATATACTTAATATGGTTAAGAAAATTCAACTTGTATTATTGTATAAAAACCTTGTTTGTGACTAATGGCCTTTGTCGTCGATGTTAACTTTTAGATCAATAAAAAAAAAAAAAAACTCAACTTATATAGTTTATAAATTTATAATTATGTTTTGAAATAATATTAAAAATATATATTTTAATTAACATTAATATTTATGTAATTATCTAATATGTTAAACATCAACACAATAATAATAAAATTAAATTCATAATAAAAATATCACAGTGAATTACCCTTCCATAGATACATTTTAGTAATTAATATGATTTTTAAAGGCAGTTATTGCTATAAAACAACACTCAATTAAATATTTTTACTTAAGATATAAATAAATTAATATTGTATAAATCTTGGTGAGTAATACTAAGAATATAATTGTAGATTAAAATGAAGTGTTTTAATGCTTTCAGTTAAATATTTAATTATACTTCTTGAAGTTTAGACCGTTCTTTAATTCTTTTACATTTAGGGCAGAAATCTCTATTTTTCCAACATTGGTAGTGATAAGCATTATCACATTTAACACAGCTATGTGCATCTTCATCGAATGGGAATATTATTGTGTCCTTTTGACAAAGCTCACAAATATATCCTTGATTTTTACAAATCTAATAATAATAATAATAATAATATATATTTTAAATATTATTTATGGTGGATTTATGGTAAAAATTAACCAACTTCGCATTCATATCGAATATGTTTTTCACAGACATCTTTTACTCCCTGTAAATCCTCTAAAAAAAGTCCTGATTTTATTTCAACCATATCTTTCATGCTATACAAAATACTATCATATAGCAATTCATGACATCTAGAGGATACATTTTTTAATTGAGCATTCCAAACTTTGCACAAAACCAAGTATTTTTTCATTTTTACTAAGACGTTTTTAATATTCTGTAAAAATAAAAAATTAATGACTTGTTAAAATTGCAAAAAATAAGTTCAGTTTCTTACTTTGATTTGATTTAGTGACTCTAAATATGTATAGAGTTTAGGATTGTGTTTTTCCAAATTGTACATCTTTGATTTATAATTATAATTAAGTAGTTGAAAAGATGCCTGACTCACACATTTTTTTTCAAATTGCCAATTACATAGAACACGTGCTGGTATTAAAGCGGTATTATTCCAATGGTGTAAAGGACAGTAATATTTCCCATCATAGTCACATAAGCGGGCCTCTAATGAAAGATTATCTTCTAAAGATAAAAATATGTTCAATAAACATGATATTGTTATTATGTATAGTTAAGCCAATGCTTTTTATTTTACCAGATGACATTTTGGTGTTGCGTATACGGATATATGATTGGCATTCAGCACATTTGTAATCTTGGGATAACAATCCATTAGATGGAGTGATAGTCAGAATCATAGAATGTTCACTAGCAACAACTGCAGTACAAACCCTTTTAATCTTTTCCACACAAAAAATATGACAGTAGTATCCACAATCTACAATTATACCATTTAAATATAAAATTTTGAAATGCCTAATTTTATGAACAAAAATATCCAATATATTACCTGAACATTCATACAACTGTTGCATGTATTTCCAAATAGTTTTTGTACATACATCACAAAATTTATTTTCTAACCAATTTGGCTTAAATACAAAAGATAAATGATGACCAAAAACCACTTTAGTTTCATTTGGAAGATTTTTGTTTTCTAAAGCCTTTATTTCTGTTATCATTTCTAATTTGAACCTTAACTCTACTAGTCTTCTGACCAGTCGCATCCGTTCTTGACTACACTCTTTAGTAGTTCTTATCATTTGATTGCATTTTTCAATTTCTTTTTCCAATATATCCTCATTTAGATCATTCTAAAAAATAATAACAAATAAATATATGAAGTGTCAAAGTGATGAAATAAGATATTTACTGTATACCTACCTCGTTTATTGTTAAGAAGTTATCAGATACAGATGTTGAACTTTCCGATGACACTGAATCAGATGATATTGATGACAGTGAAGTCACTGAATCATTCATTTCAACATAGAAAAATCTTTTTGTAAAAATTATTACCTGAAATCATAATACATTTTAGTGTAAGTTAAGTATTTAATTAACTATAGAAATTTGTTAAATATAATTCTCATAATAAGTAATTAAAAAATAATAATTATAGTATGTACAACAAAATATATGACATTATTTTTAGTATAAAAATTGTATAAATACCTATTACTTGGTAAAATGCAAGTCAATTATTTGTTATAGAATATTGAAGTAACTTAGGACATAAAAATAAAAAAACTCATTAGCTAAGACTTACTCCTTACACACTACACAGTTACACAATGACCGATGTCATTATCTTATATTATACATTATAATCATAAAATCATTATTATAAAAGGTTAGGTATAATACTGTAATAGGTATTCACCATAGATTATAGATATAGAATATAGATAGTATCACAGAACAATAGTATAGAACGGCCCTCGATTATTTATTTGGTTTCTGCAAACGCTCCCGGTGGTACGATTTTGAACTAACGCTCATACCCCGCCCGCGGCCCACCTAAAGTGGTACTATCATTATTATAGTATTATCACTTATTAATTATTATGATTAATATTATTATTTTAATATTCTCAAATACAAATTGTTTGAAAATTGTGTTCCATAATATTACATTTTCATTTTAGATTCTGAGCGGAGCGATGAATGTATTGGCAGTGTTGTAAAAAATACTTTTAAAAAGTATTTGAGTAATTACTCAAATACTTATAAAATAAAGTATTTAAAATACCACCCAAATACTATCTATTGTAAAGTATTTGAGTATTACTCAAATACTTTTTAGAAGTATTTGAAATAATTTTCAAATACAAAACAAAAAAAATGCGTACGTATACGACATACCTTACCTACCTAATGTTCGTATTATATTTCGCTATGATAATATACTATATTGGTAGGTAGTAGGTACCGAAACGTACCGTTCCAATCGTCGTCGAGTGTCGACGATAAACAGACGGTTTCTCAGAGTAACTAATATTAATTAGCTATTAATAGACGAAAACTAAAACCAATATAGAATTGTTCATAAATAATAAATATATATTATAATATTATTAAGACATTATTATTATTTGACAATGAATAAAAAGTTGAAGGAATAAAAAAAGTATTCAATAAAATAGTATTCAATAGTAAAAAAATGTATTTAAAATACCGTTCAAATACTTCAAAAATAAAAGTATTTGAAAAAGTATTCAATACGGAAAAAAGTATTTGAATACTTTTACTCAAATACTTTTACTCAAATACTTTACAACACTGTGTATTGGTTTTACAATGATGTGTGTTTTATAGTCTGAGCGGAGCGATGAATGTATTGGTTTTACAATGATGTGTGTTTTAGATTCTGAGCGGAGCGATGAATGTATTGGTTTTACAATGATGTATGTTTTAGATTCTGAGCGGAGCGATGAATGTATTGGTTTTACAATGATGTATGTTTTTATATTTTTATTTATATTTTAGATTCTGAGCGGAGCGATGAATGTATTGGTTTTACAATGATGTATGTTTTTATATTTTTATATTTTAGATTCTGAGCGGAGCGATGAATGTATTGGTTTTACAATGATGTATGTTTTTTTTTATATTTTTATTTATATTTTTGTGTCTGTCATCACGTTTTAGGACAGTAAAAATGCTTGGATTTTCTTCATCAGTAGCTTTTCTGGTAGGAAAGTGAATCTAGTTGGTACTTTGGGGGGTCAAAAGTATAAATTTCACAGTAGTTTTCACAAGCGCCGGGAAAAACAACATAAAAATTAAGGAAAAACGGGAATTTTTACGCAAAATTGGTTTTCCAAAAAATCGATTTTGGTTATTGGTGTAACTCTAAAACAAATGAACGTATATACATGAAATTTTCACTGGTTGTTTATATTTGCATTTTCTATACACGATAACATTTTCAAAATATTTTGATTTATTTTGAACTGTTTAGGGAAATTTACATTTTCCATTTTTTTTTAGTTTTTTTTCTAAAAATATCAATAAAATTTTATTTATTGGTTGCGAAAGCTTGAAAATTTAATAGAAGGCTCCTAATATGTTGTTTCAAAGGTAGATAAAAAATATTAAAAATCCTTAGTCACAATTTTTTTTTATAAGCATTTAAAGTTCAAAAATTGACAAAATATGGAAAAATCACGAAAATTAGCAAATTATTTTGAGTTAAGAATTCGTAAAAATTTTTCTTTTTAAATCTAAGATTTGAAAATGAAACACAAGATTCCTTATAAGATTATCTACCTTTATCAATAAAAAAAATCTCTACCGGACAGTCAAATTAAATTTTTATGAGCGTTTGAAATTCAAATTTTTACAACATTGGATTTTCACTCGATTACTCATGTAGCGATTTCCTTATTTTGTTGCAATTCAAAAACGAACGACTGTAGATACATGAAAATTTCACTGAATGTTTAAATTAGCATTTTCTATACACCATACAATTTTGAAAATTTTTTTGGCTCTTTTTGAGTTGTTTATGGACATTTACAGCTTTCAATTTTTTTTAGTTTTTTTTTCTATAAATATCAATAAAGTTTTATCTGTTGGGCCAAAAAGTGTAAAAATGTAATACAAGGCTCCTGATATATTGTTACAATAGCAGTTGAAAAATATTAAAAATACATAGGCACGATTTTTTTTTATAAGCATTTAAAGTTGGAATTTTGACAAAATTTATCAAAATCTCGAAAATTATCAATCGTTGGAATTAAAAAATTATAAAATGTTCAGTTTTTATAACTAAGAGTTGAAAATTTAAAACAAAGATTCTCTTAAATAATTCATACTGTAACCAAAAAATCTAATAAATATATAAACACACTTATTTTTTACAGACATTTTAATTTCAAATTTAGACAAAATTTCATATTTAAACCAAGAACTACGATTTTAGTTATTTTGTTTTGATCGAATAATATTATTCGTGGGTACTTGAAACTTCTAAAGTGTACTATTATATATCTATGATAGTATCACGGTTTTTGTTGATGTATAACGCGTTATAAGTATCTAATGGATATTGTGATATGATTAGTTTGTAATTTATTATAGGTACCTATTATAGGTCAATTTTTTGTTTAATACCATAGATATGTATATAATATGTCTTATACATAGACTGACATACCGTCACCGCTCAGAATCGTTTTTCTTATACAATGATATTATATCATTGAATTCAAATTTAATACCATCCATTATACAGTGCCCCATTTGTAACCTACTGTACAGCAGAGTGACATCCACTTGCCCACCTTTTTATTTATATTTTTATTTATATTTTAGATTCTGAGCGGAGCGATGAATGTATTGGTTTTACAATGATGTGTGTTTTTATATTTTTATATTTTTATATTTTTATATTTTTATATTTTTTTTTGTGTCTGTCATCACGTTTTGGGACAGTAAAAGTGCTTCGATTTTCTTCAATAGTACCTTTTCTGATAGGAAAGTGAATCTAGTTGGTACTTTGGGGGGTCAAAAGTAAACATTTTCCAGTAGTTTTCACAAGCGCCGAGAAAAACAACATAAAAATTAAGGAAAAACGGGAATTTTTACGCAAAATCGATTTTCCAAAAAATCGAATTTGGTTATTGGTGTAACTTTAAAACAAATGACCGTAGATACATGAAATTTTCACTGGTTGTTTATATTTGCATTTTCTATACACGATAACATTTTCAAAATATTTTGATTTATTTTGAACTGTTTAGGGACATTTTCATTTTTCATTTTTTTTTAGTTTTTTTTCTAGAAATATCAATAAAATTTTATTTGTTGGTTGCGAAAGCTTGAAAATTTAATAGAAGGCTCCTAATATGTTGTTTCAAAGGCAGATGAAAAATATTAAAAATCCTTAGTCACAATTTTTTTTTATAAGCATTTAAAGTTCAAAAATTGACAAAATATGGAAAAATCACGAAAATTAGCAAATTATTTTGAGTTAAGAATTCGTAAAAATTTTTCTTTTTAAATCTAAGATTTGAAAATGAAACACAAGATTCCTTATAAGATTATCTACCTTTATCAATAAAAAAATCTCTACCGGACAGTCAAATTAAATTTTTATGAGCGTTTGAAATTCAAATTTTTACAACATTGGATTTTCACTCGATTTCTCATGTAGCGATTTCCTTATTTTGTTGTAATTCAAAAACGAATAACTGTAGATACATGAAAATTTCACTGAATGTTTATATTAGCATTTCCTATACACCATACAATTTTGAAAATATTTTGACTCTTTTTGAGCTGTTTATGGCCATTTACAGCTTTCAATTTTTTTTAGTTTTTTTTTCTATAAATATCAATAAAGTTTTATCTGTTGGGCCAAAAAGTGTAAAAATTTAATACAAGGCTCCTGATATATTGTTACAATATCAGTTGAAAAATATTAAAAATACATAGGCACGATTTTTTTTTATAAGCATTTAAAGTTGGAATTTTGACAAAATTTATCAAAATCTCGAAAATTATCAATCGTTGGAATTAAAAAATTATAAAATGTTCAGTTTTTATAACTAAGAGTTGAAAATTTAAAACAAAGATTCTCTTAAATAATTCATACTGTAACCAAAAAATCTAAAAAATATATAAACACACTTATTTTTTGCAGACATTTTAATTTCAAATTTAGACAAAATTTCATATTTAAACCAAGAATTACGATTTTAGTTATTTTGTTGTGATTGAATAATACTATTCGTGGGTACTTGAAACTTCTAAAGTGTACTATTATATATCTATGATAGTATCACGGTTTTTGTTGATGTATAACGCGTTATAAGTATCTAATGGATATTGTGATATGATTAATTTTAGAATTTATTATAGGTACCTACTCGTATTATAGGTCAATTTTTTTTTAATACCATAGAAATGTATATAATATGTGTTAAACCTATTATACTGACTACCGTCTCCACTCAGAATCGTTTTTCTTATACAAT